ACGTTTTACGCAGCACTACTTGCAGGGCATATCGTGGATGACAGGTTTAATCCTTCGTGTGGCATGTTATGCACTGCCCGACACTGTTGACGCGAGCATGGCGTCGGCGATGTATTCAAGTTTATTTGGAAAGGCTATTGTCAGCTACTAAACCTTGCCCTTAAGTCAGTGCTTTAGGTCAGCATTTTCCAGCACTATTGTAGTTTTAATGAAGTCCTTAGATTTTAGCAGAAAGAAAATAAACACGAAAACCCTGAAATCGCTTGTTTGCGCTGACAGTGTTGCACGGTGTACCATTCAGTTGTCGGGAACTAGAGGAAAAAGGGTAGTTATCTGGCTCATTGATGGTGGTGTTGTTCAGTCGGAGATAGTTAAAAATAAAAATGTCTCTGGCGTTTGCCAGCGAAGTACAGAACAAAAAGCAAGAACATATAAAGTGTGAAATGACCGAGATATTTAGACATCGTGACGTCCGTCCTGCGAACTATGGGGTTACTGCTTCATGCTATAGAAGAGTCATGTAGCCAGTACAGTACGACCGCTAGTCTGATTCCTTGAAAGGGACCATGCATTAACTTGGAGCTGAGATAAATTATTTTAGATTGGCATATTACTATTCACGTATCGTTTAGCCGGCCAAACAAAAACTAGTACACGAGTACCATGTACGAAAAATTGAAAATATATTGCCGACTATTTTTCACCTCCGTTCCTTCGAAAGGTCGATCCCCCTTTTCAATGTGATGCATACGCGGTAGCCAAATCACGTTAGCCGACCCCAGGTCACGCTTCGGACACGAGCACTACGCCTCTCGGACGTATGCGCTCGTCAACGATCAATCCATCGACGAATATTTGCATTTGCGTTCGTGGTCAACGGATGCCGTGACGTCACTTCATATCACTCGCGAGTGACAAGTTTCACGGTGCGCTTAGAAAAGCACGGTGGAAGCTCGCAGTCATCGCATCCGGGAAAATACTGCGTCACGACCACGTTCTGTCTCGTTTCGCTTTTCATTTGAAAAAAGCTAAGGAAAATAAGTTTAACGATCATTTCGTGGTCCCTTTAAGGTGCAATACGCAGTCGTGAAAACACGATTGCTCGTATGAGGCTTGCCGTGGTCGAAACGGGAAGGGGTGAGCACGAAACTCGGAGTCCCTGGGTTGCTCTGCACGCGCGATTTGTCCCTTCACGTTCTCCGAGCTGCGGTCCGCGCGCACTGCAGGTCTGCGCTGTTCACTCGCAAGACAGCCCTTTGTTCGTCATGGATGCAAGCTCAAACACGCTTTTACAAATGCACAGACAAAATCCGAAATATTCTCAGTTTAGTCCGAACGTTTTAAAGGGCGACGATTTACGTGAGTACGTACACCCTTCACAATACGTTAGGGGTGTCGGGGGTGCCCTCTTTTGATCCGGTCCCAGTGGCGAGACAGGCGCCGAGGTTCCTTTCGCGACACAACAAAAGAAGCTTCTGGCAGGCACCAGTGGTGTAACGGAGTATTGCTCATTTCCGAACATGTTTGTTTGTGGCCAGTTTGTACGGCCAGTGTGAACGAAAAGTTGCTGACCGTTTTAATGCTTTCACGCGAGGAATCTTCGTTGATTGTCTCTCGCGCGGGACGATGCCTTTGAGCTGCTCTCAGACACCGTGCGGGCGGATCTTTATGACGTTCCTAGCGCTTCGTGCCTTCGCTCGCTCAGCCGGAATGAACCCGCAGGTCGATGCGTGATTTCTCAAGACATCATGGGCGCGGGGAGCCGCTTCACGGCGTCCGATTCGCTCTGTCCTGTCTACGATTGATCGTTTGCGTGAAGCTATGATGCCTATGATCAAAGAGGCAGTTTGGGTAGACGGGGGAAAGTGAGGGAGATGGAGAAAGGGGCGAGGCCGACTCGAAGAGATGTCGTCGACCCGTCGTTTTATCGACACCGCGGGAGCTGACGTCTCAGGAGGCACGCATTGAGCTGTCTCTTCGTCGTAGTATTCCCGAGTGTATTCCCGCGCGGCTCATGTGCGCTTTTATGGGGCGAGCCGAAGCAGCGGGGGCCGATTGCACATACATGTAACGACTATTGGTCGCCGAATTCCACCTCCGTTGGGCGCACCGATGCAAACTGAAAAAAAAAAAAGACTATAGACCTGTTCATTGCTTATTACCCAGGCAAAAAAGAAAAAAAAAATGGCGGGTGGTTGAGTTGTGGACGCGTAGATGGCGGGGTAGTAGTGCCAAGATGGCGGAAGAGAGAGGGATATGATTCTCCGAAATTTCTCGTGCTCCTGCTCGTTGATGCTGGCCAGCGTGCTAACATTAATCCATACCTGGCAAGTTTTACGATTTTACCGTAAAGTGCCCGCTTTCCAGCGCTTTCTTGCGGTTATCGTAATGACAACAATATTTGTACAAACTTTTCCATTGTAAAAAAAAAAAAAAAAAAAGTAACTTGTTTTTGTTTGAGCTGCATCTCGCCAGTTTGCAATTCGGTGTTGGCCACACTGATACGTCGACTTGTATGCTAGGAGTGCAAGCTAGCCCTCACTGATCTCCATGCTACCGCTCGTTATAAGTGGTATAGCCGCTAACACCCATCCACCCATCCGAATCCAAAATAACTGTTTAGAAAATCTTCCTTGTGGCAATTTTGGTTGTGGCGCTCGCCGTGCATTGTGTTACCGGAACTTTTGCGCATGATCCCTTGAATCCACCTTTACAACAAGATGTCGGGGAAGAACTACTTTCAAGTGTTCATTCCCAGCTATTCGACTGACTTTATTTATCGAGACGTTGCGCAAGGGCGAGAGGTAGGCAGTTTGTAGTTTGTGCCGCTGCTATGTCAACATTTCGCACGCTGGTCGCCGGGACATTCTGTGTCATCTCGGTACGAAAAAGCATTAGGACTCTGCAAAACTAGTTGAAACCAACGAGAAGCTTAAAGGGTACTTTGGCCGATCAACAGATCACTAAACTATCTAAGCAGAATGCCTTTTTACGGCATTTTTGTTGAACAGAACGGGCCGTTCACGACAGCTGATTACACCTGAGACCTCTTTCAGAAAATGTTCTCAGGCTCAAAGGGAAGCTGCTAACTGCGATTGTGCTCAAACCAAGAGAGCGTCGATAATGAAGGGAATGGCTAGTAGTTTCAGGAGTGTGCCGTTCTCGGTCGCGATTGACGCGAGCAAAGACAATGAAAATGATGCCGAGCTTTATCCCATTATAGTCACGTTTTGTGGCTAAGTTTTGAAGAATAAAGCAGTTTTCGTATTTCTTCGCACAATTGTATTGTTTTTCGGCGTCCCCTGTAGTATTTTCAACATTGTAGGGTTGGCAGGTCTGTTAATCTATTTCAACATACAAATACGAAGCTGCCGGGGCAGGAGTGTATCGCACGTGACAAAAATATTAACCTGTGTTAAGAAAAAAAAAATTAAAATTCGTTAAGCGGAATACAATTGTTCCTATTTTAAAACACTGTTTTTTTTGTTTTTTTTTGTTTTTGAAGAATTGCACGAATTACGGTTCCGCCGACCAGACCCGTGCAGTAAGAGCAGGACCAGGGCCGATACTCCCAGCCACCGTCTCCGCCACCGTCCCCGCTCCTCTGGTTCTTCGCTCGTTCGAGAGAGGGCGAGCGGCGGGCTGTAGTTGGCGAATGAGTTTGCGAATACGCTTTCGACGCTACTTGGTTGACTCCACCTCATCGTGACGTCAACTGCTGTCGGACTTAAGCCGGAAGTCACACTGTTTATACCTAACACAAAAGACAGTCTGCATATATGTATTCGAACGTGAATCACCGCGAGATCCGTGCTTCGAATGCCGTATGGCACCGAGTTCAGGGAGAAAACGTGGGCGCGCGGCATTTGAACCATGGATATTGCTGTGACTCGTGTTTGCGGACTGTCTTTTGTATGATGTACACGAGCAGTGCGACCCCAAAGTAAAAGGGAGTATGGCGTTCATTTTTTTTTTTCTTTTCTGAGCAATATACCGCGAGCAAGTGTTGTAGAATGCCCCTTTGGCGCATAGAAATGCAAAGCCAAGCAGGCCAGTCAAAGGGCAAGATGGAGAACGCGCAGGGAACGCGCGATGACGAGGCCTCGCCCAGCACGCGCCGTCATTGGTTGAGAGACAATACCAGCTAGAAGACAAGGCCCGACCATTACGTCATCCTTGGCTGTGGCGCCGTACCGCAGTATTTTCAGACGTTCAGGTATAAGCACATGATTTTTGATAATGGTACTTTGCTACTGAGTGATGCATCTTATATACCTCGCCTGATCCGTCGTAATTTACTGTCCTGATTGCCCCCTACGACCATCCCTAACTTTTTTGAACATCAACGCCTCGGCGCGTGCACTAAAATGAGATTTTCAACTGAACGACAACAAACATCGCAGTGTCCGCCGGGAATATTTTAGATGACAGTGATAAAATATAAATATCCAGTAATGAAACTTTTGGACGCGTATAATATTAATTCCGCTGCTCTCCATTTTTGTTTTGTTTGCTTGTTTACATTAAATAACATGTTTTTTCTCCCCCCAGAATTGTAAATTTCTGCCTTTCTTGACAAAAGATTGTAATGTTCCCGAGAACTGTAATTGTCTGAGTATAATAATACGCAACCCAATTAGCATCAATGAGCAAAGCATACTGACTTCCTTCTCCGGACGCATCAATAAAAACATCTGTTCTTTTTACAAAGTACCTTAACAGAGGCCACTTTGGTGCAAGTGCCGACGCTTTATGCATTCACTGTGTGCAGCTTGTTCGCAGCATAGGAGTGTCGGCATAGGCCCATAACAAAAGGCAGGAGCTGACATTTGTTGTGGTAGGTGGAAACAAAGGAAAGGGGTGTATGCTACTTCTTTGGAGGAACGAAGGAAAGAACCAGATCGATGCCTTGACACAGGGACGATGCTATCTCTAACTACGTCTGTACGGCCTCGCCCTCGGGTAAAAATCTAACGGTTGTTCTTTTCTGGTCTTTGCAGATGACGCTCGCGGGAACTAGCCTGCTCTTCGACACCGGAAGTCTGGTGAGTTTATTTGACAACTCGAGGGTAGCATTTGGACTCCAGTTAAACGCATTTTTTATGCGTCTTTTTTTTTTTTTTTTTTTGGGCCACATCTGTTGTAAGCTTGTTCCGTAGAAGGCGGTTTATGTTATGTCTGAATGTTGTGCCGTTTTGTCTGACCAAAAAGATTGATGAGGAATCTGGGAAAATGGCCGCAGGATTCGTTTTATGCAATCATTTTTTTAAGTGTTTTTTTGCTGGTATAGATGCGTTTATGTGAATGAAATGCTTAGCCATTGAGTGTCTAAATATGCCATTTCTGTGCCCGCGTTTGCGTTCTCGCACATGTCGTGTTTCATCTTGCTCAGACACCGAGAGAATCAAAAATCTGCAGCAACGATTGGCTTCCTTAGGCAGAGTCCTGTTTCCGGCTTTATTATGCTATGTTATATCATATTTCAAACTCGCACAAATTTTGATCGAGCCAATCTATCATATTGCGTTCTCTTTAAAGGGAAGCTGAAGAGGCGCTTGAGAAAAACGAGTTAGAAGTGAATTCTAGAGTATTCTTATCCCTTGAATCTGAATATCGGGTTCGTTTACCCCGAAGACATGTAACTAATCACAAGAAAACACGAAAAACCTCCGATCAGTCGTCCCTGTCATAAAAGGATATTTCGGCCACCAAGCGCGTGTCACTCGTGTGGTGACGTCTTTTTCGGACTTTCTTGAAAATAGCAAGAGTGCGCGTGCATAGCTTTCATTGGCGCTGAAGATGCGCGAGAACGGAGATTCCAAAAACTCTGGATATGACGTTACGCTCCGGGAAGGAGGGGCTTCAGCGGTACTTTTCAAATGATTTTCAGTAGCCTCCGTGCACCAAATCGAAAAATAATCTCGCTATTCGTGATCCTGGTGGCCAAATGAAGCCGGTTCAGGTATTTTTACTCAAATAGAGAACCGCTTCAGCTTCACTTTAAACGGGTTGCTTAAGACATTTATTCGATTAAGCATTTTTTAATAGATATACAATTGTCACTAATATGCAGAAAGCAGTATTAATCGAGGTTTTATGGTGACGTGAGTAAACTTCTCCCTGGGAAACCCAGACTAAGGTCTAGTTTTCTTTTTTGGATAAAAGAGGAGTGTAAAAGGAACCGCTTCGCATGTTCTGGAATTACGCAGCGTAAAACTTCCCAGTTTAAAATCAATTTCACGCCAGTAGCCGAAATGTGGAGCTATCCGATATCGCTTATGATTTCGTTTCACAATAGCGGTTTCTAGCTACGTGCGCATTAACACTTTTTATCGAATAGTTGAGCAAGCTTTCACACGCGAAAGCGGCGCACGGATGGCATTAAATCACGTGATGCTCTTTCCCGCATTTCCATGAACACCGCATACGAAACGCTCGATAAACACTTTCACCTTCCCCTAAGAAAACAACAAGAAATACATTTCATGACAGCTTCACAAGCAGCGAACTTGTTCCGCTCACGGTTTAGCAAACCAGCCATGAAAAAATGGTTGACCCTATCGTTTATTAAAATATTTCTCTTCTCTCTCTTTTTCGATATAAAGAAACCAGCTGCCGTCGATTGTATATCACAATCACGTAAGCCTATAGGTCAGCGCAGCGGACGACGAATCGATACCCGTTCCAGACTTTCTCCCGTGTTCTTTTTGGTGTCAAAAACAGACGTCCTTCCTTATATTTCTGACCCGTCGCCCCGCGTATATAACACCGCACACGCGGACGCCAACGGTTCCATTTCTTCTATCCAAACTTTCGGGCGCACGGCCCGTGTTTGGTCATCGGAATTTTTGCTGCTGGCACCGCTAGGTCAAGTGGAGCGACCGATGATGGAGCGTTCCTCGGGTCCGGCGCTCCGCTGTCGACACGAGCAATACGAGCTGGAAGTCAAGTTCTGTTTCTTTCTCCCCAATACGTCACCACTAGTGGCCCCACGCAGCACTGCGTGACTAGCTTGCCAGCGCTTTTCGCAGCGTCTCACGAAGAGTGCGACTAAAGCACGCGGCGACGCCATGACGGACGCCTTTGCCGCTTGGGGCGTTTTGGGGGATCCACAGGTGTTGACGTCACGCTGGGGCCTTCTCTTCAAGGCGGTATTGGTGCAGGCGTTGCGCAGCTCTTGAAATGGCCGCGCCGCAAACACAGGCTACTTGTTTCACCTGGGAAACGTCCGTGGCGTCAAGAGGGCTCTTTGGTGCGCGGACGCTTTCAAAAGCATCAAGAGTCAACACGCGCTGCCGAGCAAACAGGCAGACAAACATTGCGCTGTCTTTGTAAACAGGCAAACAAATGCAGCTCCCGCTCTGGCTCCTCCTTTTCCGAAATTCCGCGGTGCTCGCAAAACCAAACTCAAGTCGAGATTTTTTTTTTCTCTTCAATCTGGCCCGAAAGACGTTCCGTTTTTCCCGTTCCCACTGTCACTCGCTATATGTTCGTCTTTATATTTGCGCTCCCCTGAAATAAAACGAAAAAAAAAATGGTAGGCGTCTAAAACCCACACGTAAAAAAAGCAACAAGGAAGCAAGCCGCGCGCTCGGCACGCTGCGGAACGAACAAAACGGACGGACTCCGGAATTTAATACTCGAGTGTAAACATCGCCGCGAAATATTGCGAGACGAAGAAAAATAATAATAAGAGCGCTTTCCGCACCCAGAAAGGCATCGAGTGTCAATATGGGAGTCGGGGGTTTGGGCGCCGCGGAAGATGAAAACTGTTGCGCGCTTGTGATAGCAACCCCCACCTCCCTTTTTGCTGCTTCATTTTTGTTCTTCTACTGTATTTTCCTACCCGACTTCGCTGAACCGTTAATGTAATTTTAGTTCTGTTTCGCGCAGGGATTCAATACCGAGGGGTTCTTCCTCATTTCGATCTTCTCGCGGCGCTATGCGTGCCGCCTGTTTTCAATTTATTGCCGTAGCTTTCCCTCTGTCGGGTAATCACTGCTGTCGCTATAGCTGAGAGCTGGAGAGAGAGAGAGAGAGAGGGGGCGAAGTGTAGCTCTTACAACTCGGGTACTCATTTCTCGCTTGGCCGGAAATCACCTGCGAGTGTCGTCGCCCGTTTCGTGTGTCGGGATGAGCGGCGTTTTCTTGTCGGGACTCCAAATTGGTATTTGGTGCTTGGCATTCCGCCCGGGAGCTTTTTGGGGTCCTCGACACGCTCCTTTACCCCGCTGCCTCTCGTCCATTGTTCACGAGAGATGGAGAGACCGGCTCTTACGTGTACCCAGCCTCAGGCGGAATTTGTTCTTCTCTGCCCCTGCCGTTGGTCTTAAGCCGCAGTCCCACCTCTCATACGTCCTCAATAGACGCGGAGTTTGCTGCAGCCACGATGAGAAAATTATTTGTGGACACGGCCCAAGTATGTTTCTAAGCATGTTTGCGTCGCATATATTACATCTCTGTACGGGCCATGACCAACCGAAAGCCCTGGTCAGGCCGTGCCGTGCCGGGCCGTGCCGGGCCGGGTCAGGCCGGGCCAGGCCGGGTCGGGTAGCACGCATTGTCCTCAGGCACGGGCCGGGCCCGGCGCTCAGATGGGTCGCACCTGCATCGGTGTTAGCGTATGAAGGCAGTACATAAACTACGAAACTCTCAGTTTTTTCGCCTCGATATTCTAATTCAACAACACGTTTGCCCTCCGACAAACGAAGCATCGGCTGTTTGTTTTCTGAGCGAATCGCCGACCCTGTCTGTCCCAAGGCGGCTGCTCCGGATTTTGTAGACGAACCACGCGAGGCTCGGCCCCTCGTTGGGCCAAGCCTCGGATCTGGGAGACTCGTATTGCTCCTTTAGCCGGACCGTGCCCGGGCCGTGCGCGGGCCGGGCCTGGCCAGGCGGGCCTTCCGGTGGACCGGGCTCCGTTTCGGGTAAGATGGAGAGTCAGCGGGCCCGAGCCTCAAAAAGTATACCCGTGTGGTGCTTTGTAATATCTGTTCTTGGAACATTTCCGAATACAATTTTTGTATGGCCGATGCGTCAGGGCCGTCTTACAAGAAGCGCGGTGAGGGCGGCTCGAGTGATGTTCGTGCGGTGCGTTTTGTTGCCACGTCACATGTTGTGTGTGCCAACATTGGTCGAAACATTCGCGCAGCTAACGCCATGTTTTCATGTGTTTTTTCCTGTTTTTTTTTTTTTTTTTTCTTGGCGGGGGGGGGGGGGGGGGTTATGTTGGGTTTGCGACATTGGTCATTGTGACACGCCGACTCCCGTGACGTAACTTGTTGCCAGTTCGAGAACACTTTATGTGCCTTACGCGTATAGGCCGCTGAATCTGTAGGGAACCTAGAAGATAAGGCCTGCTCAGGACGTCATCGTTGGTTGACTTGGGAAAACAGGCTGGAGCTTGACGAGTGTCTCCTGAAAGCTTCACAGGCTTTCGTCGCGGTGTCGCCGCCCGTTAGCGTATACGGGTTACGAACACGTATACGGGTTCAGCTCGTCTCTCCACACGCGTAAGCTGTTTAGCCGGACGCTTTTATATCTTTCGTGCCCTCCAATGCCCCAATGCACGGTTTGACGAGTCGGATTTGACGAACGTTAATTTTAATTCTCTCGAAAACAAGAAAAAAAAAAAAAAACGTTAGGAAGAGCTTTGGGTAGACTAAAGTCTAGTTTATTGTGTGCCCGCTAAGCGAGCCGTGACGGAAGTGGAACGCTTGTTCGTGCCGAGAAACAAAATGTGAAAAAAAAACATGCACTCTCATAGGCGCCACTAGCGCAGTTCCTGTGGCCGGATTTCTCGTTTCGCTGATGCGTAGCGCCAGCTGCGCCTCAGGCGTCGAGTTTGGGACGAAGTGTATTCAGCGGAGGTTACGTAGGTACGACGGACGGCCTATACGCGTGTGCAGCTGGTCCCGCGCTGTGGACTCTAATGAGGGCCTCGTATACGTTTTATCGTTATTGTTTTACAGGGTTTTTGTGAAATGTGTTACCTGGACTATTAATCATTTCATATATCATATATTTAATATATTTTACTCAACCT